AAACCAACAAAAAAATTATGCAAAATTGCTCCAAAAGGATGCAAAGTCACCACCAAAAGCACAAAATCAACACAAAGATATGAAATCCCCCAAAACAGATGCAAAAATCACTACAAAAAGCGGCAAAATTAGGTTCAAGGTCTTTATTGGTCACAAGCACAGTCATACACGGTATAACGCACAGTAAAATGTTTTCATCAAGGTTTAGAAATCACCAAAGAAAACATGCAAACGCATCATGAAACGACACAAAATACCACAAAAACACAGAAAATTACCTCAAAAAGATGCAAAATAACCACAAACTCCCAAAAATCCTTACAAAAACTCAAAATCAACTAAAACAGGATGCAAAATTGCTCCAAAAAGAGGTAAAATGATCACTAGATTCGTAAATCACCAAACAAACACGCAAACAAATTATGAAAAGACACAAAATACCACAAAAAACACCAAAAATCCTCACAAAAGACTCAAAATCTCCAGAAAACGAGGCAAAAATCACCACAGAAACGCCACAAACAGACGAAAAATCCTCACAAAAGACTAAAAAGGCAAAATCACGGCACAGACACTAAATCAAAACCAAGAGATGTGAAATCAAAGCAAACACAAACATGTAAACACACAACAAGGCAACACGAAATCATCCGCTGAGGATTTTAGTTATTTTTCAGCCGATAAGTTGAAGAGCAGCCATGATTTCAGGGCATTAACGTTTATAGATTCACTTCCTGGTTGTTAAAAATCAGAAAACGGTGAAAACTGTGGATCAGTTTCCTCAAAACTCTTCAGTTTAACGTCACAGAGGAAGAAAGAAACCAGAAAACATTCACACTGAAGACGTTTTTATTTAAAAATGACTCAAACCGACTGAGTTCAGACCTCCTAAAGCTTCTTTTTACTTCATATTTCCATAAATAAGCAGCTCACTCTTCTCAGTTTTTACCAATAAAACGCGTCCAGATCTCGGTTTCTCCACAGAAATCTAATCTGAGAAGGAATCCAGGACACGTTGATGAAGGAGAATCTGATCTTTGTCCCTGCAGCTCAGAGCGAAGCTGAAACCCAACACTCAGACTTTAACCCGAGAGGCCTCACGCCCTCCTCACGCCGCTCACACCGACGCACAACCACAACAACAACTACGCAACCCGCCTTGTTGTCGGGTCTGAGTCTGCAGATAAACATCCAGTTTGTCCACTTCTGCAGACGTGAGAACGAGCAGAGTCAACAATCAGCGGCTTTTGTGTTTTAGTGTTTCTAAGTTCTGCTTGTTGTGTTTTATTAGTTTCACAGGAAACACAGCAGCTATAGAACACTCCACAGCTGATTCACAAACGCTTCAGTGGAGCAACACCAAAGACGGCAGGAGTCAGGAGGAAGACCTCACGTCTCGTATCATGTGAATCAAACTTTCCGTCTCAG